TCCATCTTTTTTGAATAATGTGGTTTAGGTTTGGCTGCTTCACTACTTTCAGGTGCAACTGTAATTCTCTCAAACGATTAAAAACGAGTAATTGACTAAGTCAAAAAACATTAGCAAACTTGCCACGAAGACGCTCTCCTTCCAGAATTGTGACAATAGCTTCTTTCAACCTATGAAATGTGCACGGTTTCGCGTTTGTGAGATCGAAATAAACGTCTTCATCATCTGCATGAACCTGGATATGAACAACAATAAAAAAGTCTCCCATTATTTTTTTTGCATCTAAGTTCGGGCTCATGTACTGATTGTTGCTTTAATGTAGCGTACATAATATCCTTGCGTACTTCCTCACAATGAGATAAAAACGTCGATGATTTCAAAAAACAATTTGCGAGCATGAAAAAAGAGATAGGTAAAGTAGTTTGATATAAATATAGCTTTATTAGATATCGTAGTGAGCACCTGATGTGGGCACCTTACAGTCAATGTATTAGATGTGTTAATGAGAGTGTCCAAAGTTTTGAAGAATTTAAGTTTGTACAACGGTACATCATGCAGATATGAACGGTAGTCAGTTATTTCTGAAATAATAGAACAAACTAAACTCACTTCAACGTTTTCATCTGTGGCAATTATGCCAAGTATCATGGCTTTGTAGTCATCTGAGAGTCCTTCTATGTCCTTGGCAAGTTTTTCTTGCTCTTCTTCTGTCAGTAAAGCTTCATCCGCGTTGAGATCAGAAAGATCTTCTTTTCCTGTTGCTATGCTCAGTGATTTTGTAACAGGACTTCCTCCAAACAGTTCCATGAGCTCTGGCGCCTAAAAAATTAGAGACTAAGACGAGGCGATTTTCAAGATACTTTGACATAGTACATCAGGTGACGAACCTATGTTCCTTAGCTTACCGGCAGCTTCTGTGGATAGAAGTTAACTTTGCGTTCAAACCCAATTATGACACCTTTACGACATCTTTATAGGAAACTCACCACAGGAGCTATTGCAGACAACCAGCAATCGTCGGAATGTGCGAAAACATCTACAGGAATAGATGCATAAGGCTGCAGTTTTGCACAAAACTTTGCTATGTCCTCTTGTAGCAACTTTGGTAACTCTGGTAAAGTGTCGTTTTGCTGCAGAGCTGCGCGATGAGCTTCCTTTATCTCATCCACTCGTTTTAGGCACAAGCCAAGTTGATTAGTGTAGAATTGACATTTCTTCTTATTATTCACCAACTGAAACAGGATCGGGGAAAAAAGAACCAAATAAAGTGAGAGTGCAAGTTTATTACTGTTGCAAGCATTGCAAAAGTTTTTAGTTCTGCCTCGTCCATATCATTATGATCTTCCGGAACTAAAGGTATGTCGGGATCAAGAGGCATGTAAACCCACTGAAAAACTAGGTTGATGAACGATGACAAAAATAAGAAATTTTCTCACAGTACCAGTTGCTCAAAAGCGTTTAATAGTGCAAGAGAATCTTCGGCAAGCGAGTCGTCT